ATTGGTAATACATTAGCATGTAATATTGGGTAGACCATAGCGTATAAGTAACATTTATACAATGTAGTCTATCCGGTTCAATACGCTATTCGAAATTTTGCTACAAAATGGTATACAATCAAAAAAAAAAGAACAAAATGTTTATAACTATAAATTTGTTTTCACATTCTGTTTATTTGTTGCCTTAATAAACAAAATGTTTATAGCTTTCAATTGACAGCGTTTATTTCGCAAATATTTGAGAAAACTATTTATGAAGTTATTTTCGTTTCATGAATTTATTATGCGATGAGTTTAATATAGAGAAAAACTACACTAAGTTGGTTAATATCTTGTCCTAGATCACATACATTAGTTACACCGCTCCGGTCAACTTTTGATCGTAGTTATCGATCAAAATTGGAGGGGTATACTTCGATTTGGTATCAAAACAAGATCAGACCGGTCCTCAAGTTCTGTCAGACAATATATAGTAAACACTTAGTAATTCGTTCTCTTTAAATAGGATCCTTTCCTTTAAAATGGAGGTGAAAGGTTCATAATTTCTCATCTACCGAAAATATATGTTATAAGCAAATTTTTTTTCAACAAGGTTTTACAGAAGTCGAAAGGAAAGGTACAGAGGTTTTTTCTATGCCCTTGATTTTAAAATTGTTTGAGTAACTAAACCTGAAAAAATTTTGTTTTTGTTCTAAATTAAATTCTTAGTCAAAATTAACCAGCAAAAGTGTTCTTCATAACTTTCACAACTTTGGATCAATTAGTTAGTTCGTCATATGGCCATTTTGGTTTTCTGAAAAATTGCATTAAGAGGAATTTCGACCTTTAATGAAACATTATTTTTCACACCAAAAACGATAACTCCAGTAAAGTCCGTAAGAAATATGGGCGAAAAAACCAAGAGAGATAGGTAGAGTGACTTTAAGATGGACAATTGTGGAACTAGTAGGACCTGTGGACCTGATAAAGTTCTTCAGTTCAAAAACTTTAATAACATATGTGCAACCTCTGAGACATCGCCAAGAAACTCTCGACAGATAGCAATCACTTAGAAGATATTCTAAAATCTCTTCTTTTGCCTCAACGAAAACTCAAAAAAAAACACAAACATTTTTTAGATTTAAACACAGAAGAATCGTAAGGATTTTGTGTGACCAAATTTATAGCTAAAAGTAGAATCGGTTCGTACTACTAAAACTGCATCAAAAAATTGTAAGATCGAGGACGATAAGCTCTAGATAAAAACAATGTTAAAGAATAAAACTGAACTTTAAAAAACAACTAAAAAATTTTGGTTTGATTTTCATGAGTTTAAAACACACTGAACGCTCTTACTCGCATACTTTTGTTCATAACAGTAAATTACGCGCATAAAAAATTTCAATTATTTGTAGTTGTTATTTCGCGCATTAATATTCATTACTGTAATTTATTGTAATTCATTACCACAATATGTTGACGCTCTCTTGATGAATTAACGGTATCAACGCATATTGTGAAATATGAGTCAGCTGAAGTAGCTGTAAATGCTGCAACTATAAATTGCCATTAAACATACAACAACAACATGCAACAACAATAACAGGGAAATATACATATGAGCTTTTGAAACTTCAGACACAAAGAAACTCTATGAAATATTTACCCGAATGAGTGCGAGCGCAAAACTTTCGAAATTACAGCATATTTTAATTAGGATTATATGCATATATACACATGTCAGTTTGCATGTATGGTATATTTAAATAAAATTAGTTGCGAGTTTTGCACATTGTTGCAAAAACCATTCCATTTGTTTGTCTGCTTACCCATTAGCCATAGATCGTCTCGGGACAATAATCGTGTTAACAAGTCCACAAAAATTTCCATAAACACTCAAGCCAAAGTATTTATTTTAGTAAACATTTATTTAGCAAACATTAGCACACTTTGTAGTACTGGAAAAGACTTACTTAAGCTCTTCGAAAACACTTTCACACTAATTTGGCTTTTCTGATTCTGCTCGAAGACATGCAGGCATCAACACCTGCAATGGAATTCACTAAATTCACTAAATAATTCACTAAATCTTGTCGGATTTTGGCCACAATTCTTTGAACTATAAACAATATGTACGTACACACACATATGCATAAGTAGTAGAGCATTTGATTTGGTGCGTCCGCGAGCATGCGAACTGAATCGATTCACTAACGCCAATAAAAAAACTAAAATACAGTGTTTTGGATGAAAGCACTCTTTGCTTCAAAAAATAAACATTCGGAAAGAACTTAACAGATGTGTTTATTTAACCAAGCAGAAGAAATTTAGTGGTTATTGGATGATGTGAAACAGAAGTGAGAACAGTGTATCAAATTCCAAGTGTTTTTATATTTTAGAAGTACCTAACCTCAAAAATATTCCACTCTAAAATGAGATCGTCCGATTTTAATTGTTGAAAATATAAGCGTTTAAATGAAATAAAAAATATATAATTATATTGAGAGCAGACCAGGTCGTTTTTCGATGTACGAAAAATCAAAGTTGAAGTTGAAGACTTTAGCAGTAGCTAATAATTTCAATATTGGGGACTATAAGTTAGGTAGAATTATTTTATAAAATTTAAGATGCACTTCTTTAACTATAAACGAGAAAAAGTTTTGAAAACTTTTTTTAAACCTGATTTTGAGCGGTCAGTTGGTATGGCAACTAGATACTAAACAATATGTTCGAAGATTATAGAGTTGCCTTGATTGCCAAAAATCCATAGAAAATTTCGTGATGATAACTTGTCAAATAAAAATTTTTTGTATACAAGGACTTGATTTAGACTGATCTGTATGTACGGCAGCTATAACCTACAGTAGTGGGATATCCTATATCCGGTTCCGACCAATGAGCAGCTACTTAGGGATAAGAGATCGTGTGGAAAATTTTAGATCGGAATCTCAAAAACTCTAGTTCTTCAGTTTATATAAAAACGAACAGATAGAAAAATATACGAACTTGGCTAAATCGATTCATCTCTTTACGCTGATCATTTATACATATGTGTATGTATATACTTTTCATGGTATCCGAGATTTCCTTCTAGGTGTTACAAACTTCGTGGCAAACTTAATATACCTGCTCGAAGTATAAATATGCCGATCCACCAACATTTTCCAAAGATTATGAAATATTTTAATAATTTTCATTGTAGAAGACTTTGAAAAGGTCTGTCAGGTCTCAAAAATGCATGCTTTTTATTTTCAAATTCAACAATTCGCCTACTTTCGAAATATTTCAGTATAATTCACGTTATTACTTGTAAGTTGTAGTTTGATTAAGAATCTTGTTTTAGTAGTTTGATTAAGAATTTTATTAATTTTAGGTTAAGGTTCGATCATTTTTTGGCCTTTAATCATCGAAATTTAGCACAACTAACGTAAAATTAGCTCCACTGAAAAAAAAAAAACAATATTACTTAAGTTATGTTCTGACGATGGACAGTTTTGATGTTTAGGCGCAATATAATTGAACTCTCTTTAGACTGCTTTTGCCAAAAAATCTCTCTTCTACATTGAGAAAAGTTTAGAACTGTCAAGGAAAATTTTTTCCTTACTTCTACTACAGGTTTTAGATATATGGTATATTAGTATCTCGAAAATCAGAAGCATATTGTGAGGCTCCATGAGAGAGCTGAAAACACCTCTTTCTGTAGTAATGTTTAATACAAAGTCAAAGCCATCTGTATAGATAGCAGATCTAGCATAATTTTGAAAGCCTTACTGCTCCAACAGGAAACAATTTTTCAATAGATAAACATATCAATTAAATTTTATTTATTTAGTTTTATTATTTTTTATAATGGGAATTTTTAGTTTTTGAAGTATACTTTTTGGCGATATTAGTTTTTAAGCCGCGTCCAAGATAACAAACTAGAATTGTTTTTCGTAATATCTTAAATTTATCGAAATAAAATATATTAATGTTGGAAATTTTCATAAAGAATTTTATTACGCGAAACTTTGTGAAATATTAGTTTCATTTTAACTTTTTATTAAAATGATTATTATATTACAATTAATACAAAAGGAGCATCAACTGAAACATTGGACTTCCAGCATGAATCTTATGGAAGTAATATTTTATTATTTCTCTGGTCAGTAATTTTGAGTAAACTCACTTATTTATAGGGGATGAGCTGAGTTCCGGAACGAAATTGTTAAGTATTTTGCTAAAACAAAACTTTTTACACAAAGCTTGAAAGCTACCTTGCGCTCTATATAAAATACAGATACGCAGTGTTATTTTTATCAGTTACCAAAGTATTAAGAAAATACTTGAAGAACTGATTTGTAAGAATTTTAAACAAGTATTTTACAACTATAGAACATTATTGAAAAAATAGTTACTGTATAATTATTTTATACCAATTCCAAATTTAATTATACTATAATATAAGCAAAATATTCATTTAATACCCAAGCTTAATTCTGTTGCATCTTTACCACTGATGTCAAGAGTCTTTAAAAAAATCCCTTTATGTTCAAAAATTATATTAAAACCTCTTTTCAATAATTTTTATACCTTGAACATAATACAGTGTATATGTATATAAGAGATCAGCTTGACGAGCTGAATCCATTTAGACATGTCAGCCTTTCTGTCTGTAAATACCTGAACTAGTCCCTAAGTTTTTGAGATATCGAACTGAAACTTCGCACAAATCTATTTTGAAAAATCATTTTTGGTCATTTGTCGGAACCGCGAATATCGAGCCACTATAGAATATAGCTGCTATACAAACTGATCCATCACAGTCCTTGTATGGAAAAGTTTTTTATTTGACAAGATATCTTCACAAAATCAGACAACGATTTTTGCCCAAGGCTGCGATACAATCTCTGAACATTTTGTTCAGCTTCGTTAATCTGTGTCTTTTTTTCTTATTTTTTTTATTCGTTATCAATATTTGAAACAAAACATTGATAAACATTATTATTTCAACATTTTTTGTTTATTATATCGCAACTTACCAAGAATTTCGAAACACACTCAAACTGAAAACATTTTTTTTCAAAAATTTAGTATTTATATTTTAGCTCTTGTTTATATTACCATCATAATTGAATAAAATTTTGCTCAAAAATCACTTTTAAACACTTCACTGTAATATTTATTCACTCGAAATTGTTTAATAATAACGATCTTTTACGATCACTCTGTGCGAATTTATAAATACGCTTTGATTACATTTAGTTTGTGTTTTAATATTCCTAATATATTCCCTAAATTCACTTTTCAATCAGCATCACTTTATGTTTTCACATTAAAAATGCCTTCAGAATCGTAAAATCACTCTTGAATTTACAATTTGGTAATCTCAAAATTCTCAAACACGATTTCTACACGCGTATTTGCCTTACTGCTGCGCTAAATTCTAAGTTGATGCGCGAATCGGATGGCGCAATAAACTGAAAAACACGCGAAGGCCGTATGTGAGAAGCTCGCAACGAAAAGACGTCTAAACGCACGGAAAAGTCGTTACCAACTGAATTTTCCGAATGCCGTTACATTGCACGAAAGGCCGAATGGGCCGTTCAAGCACAGACGACAGCGCACGACGACCAGCAGTGAACAGATGGCAGTAGTGAACAGCGAAATACTGAAAAGACGAAAGGCAAAAAGCAAACAGCGAACAGCCGTCAAATGCCAGTCAATAGCCAGCCGACCATCCTCAACTTATGTATGTGTAAGTACTGTTGTGGAGTGCAGCAAGTAACGGTACTATGAGAGAGGAAATGCATAGCAGTTGCATACATCTCAACAAACTTAAGAGCACACTCACGTGCACAGCTTTCATTTATTTACAGTGGTGTATTTAGGAGTTCCGTAGATGTTGCCGGAGTTTCATTATTAATAATATATTAGAACATATGCTACCTTCTATTATGTTTCTACTAAGTTGAATTACAAATTTAATTATAGTGGTAATATTACTGCTGAACTACTCATCCTAAATGTAGGCAGCATGTAATTAAATTGATTCAAATGAGCCGTCAAAAATACTTTTCAGGAAAATGTTAACACTAATACCCAATCAGTACTTAAATAAATTAAAAAATAAATATTTGCTAAACCATCTGGCAACGGCACCAATAACACCACCATCCGCTTGGCACGTGTTGGTGGGGCTTTTGTGTTCGTTGTTGTGCGCCAAAATTGCTTTCGCCGACTTTCTACACCGGCATGTAAACAAATGTTGCTTAACATGCACTGTTAAATATCATACTATTAAAATAGCCGGCTAACATGAATTTACTCTCTCATTCGCCTATGTATGTAGTTAACAGTTGTTGTTGCTTATGCAAACAGTATTAGACATTTCATTTTACTTTTTGTTGGCCAAACGCCACCACTTTCGCGTCTGTTTCATAGCATTGTTGTTGTAGGTTTTTTGTATTTGTTTGCCTTTCGGATTTTGGTGGTGGCTCTTAAAGTTGTGTGGCTACCGTTATGCATGAGTGTGTGTATGTGTGTGGGTGTGTGTGTTAAGCTTACTCCGTGTGTTGGTGTCCTGCTGATTGTGTGCGTGTCAGCTTCGCTTGTAATTGGCGGGAAATAGAATGTAAACATTGCAGATTTCGGCTGCACAGTGCCGCTATTTAAAATGTTGCTAGTAGTGGGAATGTTGCGCAACATTTGCGCTAAGTGGATTGCATTTCGCTATATGCACGTAATTGATTGAAAATTAATGAAATTAATATTAAACAAAAGTTTTGAAAATTTCTACGGCAAACTCTGTTCTTTTTCAATATGTAGTTAATATAATATTGACAAAAAAATTTCGGAATAAATTCCACATACAAACAATTTTGACGTTACGAAACCAAACAAATCAACTATTCATCAAAATTCGATTTCTAGCTGAAATAATCAGTCTTTTAACACAATATTCATCAGATACGAATACAATGTGGAACAAACTGGTATATGAATAATTAATTTATTTGTTCCATCGAAATTTATTGTTTCTAAAAAAAATTTATTTGCTTTACCCTGCCTACCATGCAGGAAAATTTTACGTTATAGTAAAAAAATAAAAAATACGATTATTTTTAAAATAATGTAATTGAATCGTTGAATATTGAAAAATATTAAAAAAATAAAGCTGTGGCTTGGAAATTGTTTTATAATCCTAAACCGCAAAAGCAAAATTTAAGTGGTAGAAAGGAATTTAGTCTTTTTTCGTGCAGAATGTTACAATGTACATATGCATTTCCGTTTTCAAGTATGAAAATATATAACAAAATTAATTTTTTGAAAATGCAAAACATCTTTATATTTTTATCTGATGGATGTTTTTTTCAGACCAAACCGGCATTTAGTCCTGTAAGGTAGATCCAGTCGAGTAGTAGTATTCGGGTAGTGATATTCGATTTGACCATAGAACCTGATCCAATCAAGATTATTTCTTAGAAATACCAATAACTAAAACAAACTTTTGAGGCAGAATATAAAAAAAAACATCTGTTCGTAGATCCTGTAAGTTAGAGCAAATCCACACTTTGGAATTTATAACAATAATAATATATAATAATAAGCAAGAGTATAAACATTTACCAAATCAGAACAATTTAGAGAGATCAACTTGAAGAAATAAATTTCTTTAGACTCCTATGTATTAATTTGTCTGCTAAGATACGTTAAATTTTAATTTTTTTCAATATTTTATGTCCACCCGAAAACGCTTCATTCCACTTGGGTATGCTGACCTACTATAGACAACAATGCTGCCATTATATTATAATTTAAGGACGAATACCAGATTCTGGTGCAATTGATTGACGTGGAAAGTCAATATACAGCAATAAATGGTTTTGAAATTTTTGGAAATTAAAAACTGTTACAGATAACTACAAGTAAATATATGAGACGTATTTATTTATGTATATATGTATAACTTACGGCACTTCCGTTGAACTCACGCAACAAATAAGCACAACTTTAGATTGAGCACATGTAAATAAAAATATTTCAGTTCAAAACCTGCTAACAAATGACCACAATATCCGCCGTTAAGGCAACAGTTAAAAAAAACAAAACAAAAAGCATTTCGAATATAACAGCAGTTTATTTGACTAACAGTAAATTTCAGTTTAAAATAGAACAGCAGAGGCGCGAATTGTTTTAGGACACAGGAAAAAATAATTACAAACCATTTATATTGGTGGTAAATGAGAAAATGAGAGTGTACTATATATAATTATATTTAAGTATAGAAGTATACCCTGAACAGCGTACATTAATTTTATCATGAATTGTGTAATACACGGAAGGAAATTTAGAGATACTATAATATATATGTACATATTAGGGTGGAGCGAAATATTTTTATTTTATTTTTATGCTTAGCCTGGGGGTAAAATCTGTAGATTATAAAAAAAGAAAGCTTTGGACAAAAAATAAAAAAATGTTCACACCTAGAGGCGGCGACAAGAAAAAATTATTTTTGGTTTAAACTATTTATATTTATATAAAAATTACCGAATGTGACGGTTTTTACTCAAAATGTATTTTAACGCTTAAGGAAAGCATGTTGTCGTTTAAGACTTTTTTTAAAACTCCCATAATGACCACAAAATTTTTAGGTTGATAACTTTTAATTGGCCAGAAAGAGAACTAGAATACTTAACAAAAAATTTTTACGAAATAAAAATTTTAACTCGAAAATTTTCTTTAAAACTGAGTGCACCGCTTCGCTGTTAAAAAATTTTTTTTGTCCAAAAATTTCCTTTTTTTATAATCTACAAAAAAAAATGTTCGCTCCACCATAGTATATATATATATATACTTAAATGATCAAAGTGTCTGCTGAGTCAATTTAGCCATGTCTGTCCATCTGTATATACGCCAACTAGCCTCTCAGTTTTTGAGATATCGATATGAAATTTTGCATACGTTCTTTGCTCATCTAGAAGCTGCTCATTTATCGAAACCACCAATATTGCACCACTATAGCATATAGCTGCCATACAAAAAGACCGAGCGAAATCAAAAAAATATCTTTTTATGCCCTTTTATGTTATAAGAAACGAACCTGTGAGGGGTGTTATAAAATCGGCATTTTTTTATTTTGTTTTTTTATGTGTATGTGTAGTGCAAACTTCTGCCGTAAATAGCACCCATCAATTCATCACTTCATATTTGGTAAGTATGAACTGTTTGTTTTTGTTGGTGTTTTTTTTTATGCAGCAGATCAGAGCGCTTTCTCACCTAGATTACTGATGGTAGCACGCAGCCATATAATTATGCCTAAATACATAAACAAAGGCACTGCTCATTGGCTAAGTTCCAATAATAGATACGCATAACTATACATACAAACATACATAGCTACACAGGCGAGCAAACTTGATGTATGTGGAAAATAATTTGTGGTTGCTTCATGGGAAAAATGAATGAGCGCCGCTAAAAATATTTACAACTATAATATCTGCACACACATGTCATGTCAGAAGACTCATGTATGTGTGTGTTTGCAACAAAAAATGATATTTATTAATAATACTTTTTCTAATAAATATTACTGAATTTGAATTGTGCAATATTTTTGGTATATTCATACACATACACAAAGAAGCGCACAACATCATAGCAGCACACAAAATAACAACGCTCAGGTATTTCTTTGACAATTTTAATTCATAAATTTTGGCAACTTGTTAACTCGTTCGTCGCACACAGCTGGTCCTTCGAGATTTATGCGCATCTCCTTAGCGCCCACGCCGCACACGACGTCTGTATGTATGTAATTATGTAAAAATACCAAGCAATTTTAATTATCCGCATTTGCTGCCAAACTTTAGTTCTCTTCTGGGCAACAAATTTTATGCAACGCCCAATTACCGTTATGATTTACATTTTTCATATTTTCTGCGTCGTGTGATACTCCTAGGAGGTGTGATATTTCGTTAAGTAGAAATAACATGGACCATGTTTTATTGCGTCTACAACTTGACGTTAATTTTTAACGAAAATTGTCTGTTCTTGACTTACAAATTCATTGTTTGAAGGTCAATGTTGTTTTGTTATGAAAAACAAGAAAAAAAGTTAACTTCGGCTGCATCGAAGCTATGATATACTTCACAAGTACATTCCTCATAGAGTTTAAAATAAATATATATACCTATATCACAATCGATCAGTTTGTATGACAGTTGTATGTTATATTGATTCGACCTTAACAATTCGTTCCGAAGTTTCAGCGCTGATCATTTATATACATATATAATTTGTTGATCTCACACGTTTCCTTCTGGGTGTGGTACTGTTCATTGCACACAAATTTGAGGTTATAGAGAATATTACTGTCTAACTAATTGACTCAATTTGTGTAATTACATAGTTCTATCTTCTTGCTATCACGGTAAATCTTCATATAAAAACGACTCATCGAGCCTGAGTCATTGAAATCTTGCTTGTTCGGTAAACTTAATCTGTAGTGCTTAGAACACAAAATGAATCCAATGAGTTTGATTACTCTGTTTTATATACTCAACTGTTCCCCTGACGTCATATCAGCGAGTATTTGAGATTTATTTCTGTTCTGGTATATTCCTTGCCAACCAAACACATCTATGGGAAGAATTCAAAAAGTAATACTTA